ATATATATATATATATATATATATATATATAAAATGATCTTGTCCAGAGAAAGGTCATGGTCTAGAAAGTCTATCCACATTATTTAGTAATTTATTAAGACTGTGTTCAGTGATACTCATTTACTTTATCTACATAACATCATTCATAACAATTAGGCTGAGATCTTCTCGGGACTGGGGTTCTGGTTCTGGCTGGCCTTCCTCATATTAAAGGCACCAAATCACCCAATAGATCTCTAATTTTAAAAGGTAAGAAAACTAAGATTCAGAAAGACGTCAACCCCTTCTTGCACTCAGGAGTGGAGAGGTACCCTTTCTACTTCCCTGTCAATAGTAACCTTCAAAACCACTTACAGTATTTCATCTTTGCCTCTTGTCATGCCAAAAATCAATTTACAACACTGCTGCTAACCAAGGCTCTTTCTTCTGAGAAACAACTCATAATATTCACACTACTTCTCAGGACTCTACCAAACCCACCAGACGCTGCAAATAGTAATATGGCTCTCGCACATCCTCTTCTTTTAACCATTTGCACATTTAGGCTTACAACTCTAAAGATAAGGGGTCCATGTGGAGATAGAACAGAGCTGAAAGGTACTTGTAATTCAATTTTCTCAAGTAGAAGATGGCCCAACCCTTGCAAGTAGGCAGCATTCATTTACACATAAAGGAATCAGTTTTAAGACCCCACCTTTAACTCCTCCCACTCATTCTGGATCATAGACTCCTTAAATCCACCCAAAGGTATGTGTCTGTCTTCATGACTTTTGATCCATTTCTCATTCGCCAGTTCTTGATCCTAAAATTTGCCCAGAGCTTCTGTTACTTTCCTTGCCCTTGGGCTCCCTTGGAACTAAATTGTTCTCTGCATAGTTCTAGCTCAGTACCATGGAGGTCAGCTTCGTTGACTCTTTATCTACATCCCAGACTATGATTTGACCAGCACAATGTATATAGTGCCTAAACACCAGAAATGCACATTGGAAAGTCCTGGGTAGCTTCAAAAAATTCCTGGTACCTATGTGTCTCCCCCTCATGCTGATATTCTGAAGCATTGATCTGGAGTGCAGTCTAGGTTTTGTGATTCTTTAAGTTTCCCCTGGTAATTCCAGTGTGTATCAAAGGCCCTTCACAACTCAACCAGAGCAGCCCATCTGAAGCCGACTTGATTCCCCCTCTACTGAGCCACAGGACTCCTTAACCTTTCCCTGTTCCCCACATTCTCCGTGTAGATTCTCAGTGCCCCTTTCCCCCAAATTCCAATCTATCCCTCTTCTGACTTCTTGTCACATTTACAGCCAAGATCTCAAGCTCCACCAAAGCCTTTTCTAGTTCCTTCAATTGTTTACTAGTTTATACTCTCTGGATTCTTATAACTTAATCTTTCTTTTCACACTCCACTTTAAATTATACCTACTGATGTTCTTATGATCTCAAGAATAAGCCCTACCCACAAATGTCTTGCTACTTAACAGGGATTTTGTTGTAAGTTTACAAATAAATGCATTGTGCTAGTTAAAAATTGTTGTACTAGCAAATGTAGGTAATTCTATGCCATTTAAAGTGTGAGATCACACATAGTTCACCTTGAACATTCACACAAAACACATACAGAGCAGAAACAGACACACAGAGAGTCAAAATTGAGATGGAAATGGGAACTCCAAAAGGAAGTTCCAGCACATATAGAGACTCACAGTGGCTGGCACTCCGTCGAGTTGTCGAGCCCCATGATTGGACACCAAGATCCCATCCACACCACGTTTAACTGCCTCCCTGGCATCATCACCTGGAAAGATGGAAACAACCATCCTGTGAAAATTATAACTTAACAAAGGGTTTGTGCTTAGAGGCCTCAGAGTTCTAGTCAAAGAGAGGCTGATCTCTCACACACATACACTTTGTTCACTACTGTTAGTATAAAAATATGTCCCAGGGTTAGATATAGAATATTACTAGTGGCCAAAATATGTTAACGCTTATAATAATTTAATTATGAAATAGCAATATCAATACATAGGAAATTGTCCTGCAGTTAAAATTCATTTTTCTGTGTAAAAATTTGCTCCTGCTAAGTATTTTTAAATTAATAAGATGATAGCAAATTAGAAAAACTGTCCCTCTACAATTTGAATAACATGAAGCAGTATATAAAATGGTATGCACTTTTAATGTAACAGGAAATGAACAGGTCTATTTCAAAAACATTCTTCAATATACACTGTTATAACTTCAATATTTCAAGTTATATTTTTCTAATCAAGCTTCAAAATATATTGATTCTGAAACTTTGCTTTTATAATACATTAATGTTCACTTAAACAAACTTCCAACATATTCTTTAAAATATTTTACATTCTAATTAACTGTTCTTAGCATGTTCCTAGTAATAAAATATTTCAGTAGAATCTTGATAGTGATGCTGGTTCGCATATTTGAAACGCAATATGTAATATTAAGTAAAACAACTGATTCAAAATTGTGGTGAAATCAGTCTTTGAACAATTAAGCATGAAGATATAGAAGACTGTACATATCCATAAATTCAGCAATGGCAATCAAAGCCAGATGCAATTAGGAATAATTCTAAAAGATACACAGAAGAATTCTGTAATTCTGATTGTTGTAAAGTTTAAGGCCAATACATACTTACTCCAACTGTATTTCTGAGAATACTACTAGTGAGCTACTCCCATTTTTAAATAATGATAATAATATTTTTTCTAAAATTGGAGGTACATATAAATGTTAAAGCTATGTTAGACAGGCTGAATGTGTTCTCCAAAATTTATAAGCTAAAGCCCTAACTGCACAGAATGGTGTTTGGAGATGGGAATCTTTGGTGGGTAATTAGGATTGGATGATTCATGAGATTGGGGTCCCCTGAGATATGTGCCTTCATAGGAAGAACACCACAATGAATAACTTCCCTCAGCCCTTGCATAAAAACAAAAGAGATAATATGAGCAACAGAGAGAAGGCAGTCATCTGTAAACCGAGGGGAGAGCCATGGAAACTATCCATGCTGGCACCCTAAATCCAGACCACTATCCTCCAGAACCATAAGAAAATGAATTTCTGTTTTGCAGTCCACCTAGTACACGGTATTTCGTCATGGCAGACTCAGATGCCTGAGGCCCATTACTGTGATTGTTATTATCGTTATTAACTCTATCTTTCAGGAATGCTATGGCAAACTCCAAAAAGCAATGAAATAATATGGAAAGCCATCTGATTTATGAATTGCCAGCATTTACCAACTCTAGATAGTCTCCAATTTCCAGTGGCTTGGCTTATAAATTTTTAAACTTTGCAAGGGTGTGATATCATTCAGTAGAGACCAAGTCAAGTTTTGAATTCTGATCTTTGCTGAGCTAGCAATAAGCAGTGCAACACCATCATATGCCAGCCAAGAGTAGCAGCCCGCAATTCACCGTCAGCCACAGGGTCACAAGGACAAACAACCAACACTCCACAAGATACTACATCAGCCGCACATTTTGGAAACAAGTAGTCAATAAATTTCAAGAGGTATTTAGCACTTTTTTATAAACTAGGTTTTGTGTTAGATGACTTTGCTTAACTGTAGGCTAATAGAAGTGTTCTGAGCCTGTCAGATGGGAGTAGACCCAGCTAGGATATTTATTAAGGCACAATCCCATGTAATTAAAAGAGCAACTGTAATTTGCATATTATTTATTCAACTGTAAGCCTGTGTATTGTTAGGCACTTTGTTATTTACTCCATGTGAGGTATTTTCATTTTATGTCAAATATATAGTGTGTTTGTATGAGATTGTTCTTCACTATCTATTTTACTCCAAGCATTCGTGAATCCTGTGAGATCTCGCTGAGGATTTCTGAGCCACTCATGGGGGGAGAGACTTAGCCTTAAGATTGCAAGGTAAGAGAGGGTAATGGGGTAATGTTATGATAAAAATATGTTATATTCATGTAAAAAAGTCATAAAATTACTTTTTCTCATACCATTGATCGCTTTAGATTTTACATTTTATTGTTATTTTGTGATTGAAACATACATACCTTATTACACAGCATTCTTTTCCTAGGTTCCTAATTTTCTATCTTTCTTTTTTATGCATTGATTCTTCAAACCTTTCAATTCTTCTATCTAACCTGTTCAAATCATTGTGTTATCTCCCCAGAGGCAACTGCATGGAGCCCACTACTTACTTGCCATTCTGCGGCAGTTACTCCCAGGCCTCTTCATCTTACCTTTAACCTATAGGGTTGTTTCTAGTGTCTCTGCTGAATATCTTACACTCTGATGTTTGCCCTCATGTGATTTATATTTTCATTTGTTTGTGGTGCATGCCTTCACAAGTGCCTACAGAAGGATTCATAGGACATAAAGCAGTATCTGAGTATCTTTGCATGTCTGGGTGATGATTACATTCATTGAGTTGGACATTCTCAGCCGAGCAGTCATTCTTCTCAGAAACCTTTGACATTACTCCCTTGTCTTCTAGTACTATTGTGGATTTGAAGACTGCTGCCAGTCTGACATGCATTCTTTTACAATTAAATAGTTCTGTGTACATTTTCTCTATGCGCATTTTATTTTGTTACCACTTCACAAGGAATGTGGTAAGGTGTAATTCATTTCTTCATTCTAATGATTTATGCCACCAAGATTCAGAATTTGCCTATTTTTAATAACTCCTCCTTGATCTTATGTTTCTGCTACATGGTAACTCTCTTGGTGGGATATCAGACATTCTGAAGTGATACTTGGGTCTGTCATCCAGTAGTCACTTTTCATTTGTCTTACTGTTGTCATTGTTTTACATTTTGGAAAATGTCGTTGACTGTAGTTTAACTATTCAATCATTTCATTTGTAACTTTAGAAATGTGATTTTGGGGGCTGGGGATTTAGCTCAGCGGCAAAAGCGCCTGCCTGGCAAGCCCAAGGTCGTGAGTTCAGTTCCCGGTACCGGAGAAAAACAAAAACAAAACAAGAAATGTGATTTTTAATCTTTGAGAACTTTCTTTGTAAAAAAACAATTAGAAATCATATATTTAATTACTAGTTCTTTTTTATACTTTTATTTTCACAGAAAACATCTGATTATAGTGTATTTTCAGATTCATTGATTTTCTTAAAGTTTTTTTTTATTTTATTTCTTCTGCCTTTTATGTCATGTTTTTAAAGACGTATCTTGGTCTTTCCCCCACTTTGGGAAGAAGAATGAGTTTCCCTTTTTTCCCTTTTCTTATTTTACAAAAATAAAATTTCATAACAAAATAATAAGAGAATAACAGTGATCAATATACTGTGTATCATTATCTTCAAAGCAGTAACTCATACTCAAAGTGCAAGACATAAACTAAAATGATTCTTACAAAAGAGAAACTAACAGATAATAATACAAAACTGTCTTCTCCATGGACTAGGATAAACTAGTATTATAAATGAAACAAATTAGCATATATATTAAAATATTTTTGAAACAAGGGAATATGTAATTTGGGGAAATATTTCAAGTTCTCCTTCTTATTTATCTCTCTTCTGCATTCTGTCTCTCTCCCCCGATCTGTGTGTGTGTGTGTGTGTGTATATATATATATATATATATATATATATATACACTTTAGATTTCTTATATAGAAGAAATCATGTTGTTCTGGTGTTTCTGATATTCCTGTGGTGCTAAATTTTCCACGCATATGTAGGGAAGAAAGATTGAGGAGCTGCTATAAGATTTCTGGGCTGTTTTGTAAATCAATTTCCTTCCTGCCAAGTCTTTTCCTGGAGTGGAAATTCTTTCTTCAAGCTCAATGTGGGAAAAAGGAAGAAATGTCAACTAAGAGGCTGTTGGATCATGAGCTTCTCAAGTGTCAGAATGAGGACAGCGTCGTTACATACTGTAAATGCTACCACCCATATGTTGCACTCAGGCATTAATTTGTTTCTGTGGAAAGGGCCGTGCTACCGTCTCCTTGTTGAGAATGCGGAGTTGCCCACAGTTGCATGGAAGGGCTGGGGTTGAGCAGGATTGCAGGATGGTATAACAGCTTCAAAAAACCGTCAGTCAGTCCCTACACTTCCAGCCTCCTCTTCACCTCTCCCACCCTACAGACTACTCACTTGGCTCTGAGCATTTTATTGCATAATTTGCCCCTAATTCCTCTAGGGCATCCGGAGATGCTATTCTGAGGTGCAGTTTTCTTTGCATTTTCTTTCTTTCTTTCTTTTTCTGTCATCATGCTCCCTGACATTTTGTTTCTATTGTAAATTTCTTGAACTTTCTCAACTACTTGTGTTCTTCCTCTTCATTTGCTTTGCTGTCACGGGAGGTGTTGAACTTCAGGTTTGTCCTGAGTTTGGTAAGAGAGCACATATACATTCAGTCCATCATTTGGAACCTGAAGTCCAAAATACACTGTTGTTTAAAACATATTAGAAAATGTTTCTCCAAGAGTATACATAGCTGTCTGGTAGAAATTTTAGTAATGCTATAATGGTGCAGATTTGTGTAGTTCCACACGGTACCCACCTGCAATGTGGCAGTGTGACTAAGAAATTTACTAAGAATTTATTAAGAATTTTATTTTTCTGTACCTTTAAGTAATTTAACTAACTTAACTATCCAAATGCCCTATATCGCCTCTCAGTGCTCAGATTTGCATGACCTTTATCTCCCTAACAAACCAATGTAGTGGGATTTTTTTTTTAACTTCTAGAGATAGACATAAATAACCTTAAGAAACAATGTGATATTATATTCGGAAATTGGTACATTATGTTCTGGATATTAGTTCTGTAAA